TAAAAATAACAAGTAAAAGTTAAAAGTTAAAAAATAAACTGTTTATGTATTTATTATACCTATATTTTACGAATTAGTTATTTCAACTATCGTTTTAGTTTCTAATTTTTATTATCACCGGAGATAAATGGACTTATAAAATTGATAATACGATAAACCATACAACTATAACACGCTTTTAAAATAAAAATCAATAGTAATTTATCTTAGTCTAGAATAAAGTAATTAATATTCAATGATGAATTTATACCATACATAAAAACCAGTAAAATATTTAAAAAAAAGAATTTTCCTAGTCCGGGTCCTGAGAAAAACTGGATAAGTCACTATTTTAAAAACTAGTGGTTCTGACAATAGTAACACTCATATATTTTAAAATTTAAATACTTTATGGGTAATTATATAGATTATATTTTAAGTATAACAACCTTGGTTATGTTTCTAATGAGACTAATTTTGACCACATACTTTTTCCACTTATTTAAATATTGCGACAATATGAAAAAAAAAATAAATAAATAACCAGCAATAAACAAAATAATTATAAAATGTCTACATAGAAATATATTTTTAAAATAAGCAGATTTTAAAACAATATTTACATAAAATTGTTGACGTACAAACCCATTTCATTAGAAGACCCCACACTTGAATTTTTATCAATTTTCTCATTTTATAACCTGTATATTTTATAGCTTGGTACATATTAAGTTTGGCAGAAAATGAAATTAATTTTACGATCGCCTATCAGTTTCTTATGCTAAACTTAAAATTAAGTTATAAGTTATTAGTTATAAGTTCAAAACTTGTATTTTAAAAGTACTGATACAAATAGGTAGAATATTTTTATATATTAATTAGTAAAAATACCGGTTTTCGCGAATAAATTATGTCTTGTATAAAAATTAATAAAACTAAATAGATTATTTATAATACGTGAGTAATGACGTAATAATAAAATTTTTATCCATAAATAAACTTTTAAAAAAATTAACTACGTGGTAGTAAATAACCATCACTGGAAACTATTATCTTCGTTCAATATTTTGTAAACCAATACAATACAATTTATGTTCAGTACCTATTCTCAGGCTAGATAACCATGTAACGATAATACGATTTTCTAGCTGACTAAGAAACGTTTGTCTCATGTTGGTAAATTATGCTAAAATCCTTTAAAATATATATCATATACGTCTAATTAATTCTATGAGTATCTGAATCGTGTTAGTCAAATATATATATATTGACGTAATATTGATAAAAAATGTACGAGTATAGGCTTAGTTAATGGAAAACACATATATACATATTTATTTTATAATTTTGTATAGAAATATCAGTATCTATATGAGATTACAATTATCAAATCGAAATATTTCAAAAATCAAGGGAGTAAACGAATTTGTAGGGATGCTGAAATATGGCTTCAAGCAATTCAAACAATATATTTCCCAAATAATATAATGAGGGAGGAAACACGACGTTCAATATGTGTGTGACAATATTGATCACATTTGTTGTAGTAATATATTCTTGTAAAAACAAACAAGTCAATATAGGAACTTTCGAGAATGACAAGAATACGAGTTCAACACAGATTGATTATCGACCCACTAAAAAAAGAAGAAAAATATTGCATAGTAATTTGAAATAAATAAAACTTTTTAGTTGTTGGTATAAGAATATATTTGGAAATAAAAATATTATACTATAAATCTAGAACGCTTGTTATTCAATTTAACTTACTAAGTATTAAAATTTAAGCCATGAAATCAATAAATATTCAACGGTTATCTGAAACCATGGTAATACATTTGTAATTTTGTTCCAATAAAACGTATGCTGATATCTTTTCGTTTCAACAACAGAAAATAATTTAAAGAATATCTATCAAGAACAACAAGAAGAATAAACAACCTTACAGTTTTAATTGTACATTTTAACTACATATAAATACACATTATTAACATTATCGGCTGGACCAATAATAGCTTATTAATTAACATCATTTACATAATAATTTTATTGGTAAAGTCTTAAAATGATTATAAGTTTATATAATTTTGCAAAAATGTTATAATTTTAATCCACTAAATAAAAATTCAAATTTTACTTTATAATATATTCAAAACGGATATTTTCAGAACCAAATACTTTTCCAAATTCTTAAGATATAAATTTCTGAAAAAAGTATCAGGAAATTTGACTAGCATTAATTTACATTTATTCTAGAAATATTTTATAAGAACATAACTATAAATTTTAGTACTAATATGTTAGTTTATTGCAGTTTATAACACTCCATATCTATATGGTTTATAATAAATTTATCTAAATATAAATTGCCCAACATTATATTTATATCAATAAAAAAAATTATAATAACTATTATTCAAAAACATACTAATATATTGTAATTTTCAATTAATAAAAAAATAAAACCTTCATATTATTATAAAATAGGAGTATATTTTAAATTATAATGTTAAAAATATAATAACAGCGAAACGAAAAAATACCAAATATATATGGTATAGTACCATTATTTTGCAGAATTGTAAAATATAGTATTCAGTAATTAACTTGATATTACAAACAACATATTTATAAATTAATATAAGTTAAACAAACAAAACTGTCAAATCACCCTCATTGGCCTTTAAGACGTGATACAACTCGGTCATGTATGAATGTATGATATTACTTAATACTGATGAATGGTTATTAAAAAATCTGTTTTTTTAATAAATATCATTAATAAATAATTATCAACAAAATATTTATAATGTAAATAGCATGAATAATACGATAACCGTGTAATATCCAATCCATAATAATAAAGAAATGACTGTTGTTGAACTAACTAGTATTGTACGTGGGTTGATGAGCTTAACTGGGTCATAACTTAAATATAAATAAAAAAACAAATATAAGGATTAAGATTCAAAGTAATTTGTTGTCAGTAGTTTACTAAAAGTAACAAATACATCGTTTAATTATTTAATTAAATGTCTATAAATGCATGTAATTCATTGTTTAAATTGTTGTAGTGAAAAATAAAATATCTAAGATGGTATCGATTCTTAAATGCAGGTCATTTAACATTTTTTAAAATTCAGTGAGAACCACTCAAATAGATTCATCCACAAAAAAAATATTGAGAACTACGTGCTGAAATATTTTTTCCAAAAGATTTTACACGATTCATTAATTAAATGATAACCACAAATTAAAAAATTTTTAGTTTTTTAAAAAAAAAAACGGTTACGGTTCATCATAAATTCTTAATTTAATACATTATTTTGTGTCATCTAATACATATAATAAAATTTAAAAAACATCACAATTCATAATGTGTTTTAATTTTTGTCGTTGCATAATACAGTTCGTGAAAACGAAGACAAATGATATATTTAAACATCGAATAGTTCTATAATGAAAATACTTTATAACAATAATACTATTTATTACACTTACATAATATGTCTAATACGAGTACATATTCGCACAATTTCCTCTAGTAAGCTCCGCTGTGAATATAATTTGCAAATATAAGTATCGACAAAACAATCAATACTGATAATGCTAATAATACTAATAATGGAAATTCGTAAGAAAAAAAAATAATCATATTAGATATCGTGATTCGAATGCATTCTACTCTATATTATAACAGTTGGACGCAGTAGGAATACTAGTAGGAGTGCTGCAGTCGTGAACGGTGCCCGTCAACAGTTGGTCGTCGTAAAAAATAAGGTCTACGTTACCAAGGAAGATTTCGAACAGTGCATACGCTCACTGCCATCGTTTTTCGTGCCAGCGGTGGTCGTGTTGAACACTGTATCCAGGTGATTGTGACATTTAAGTGAGATGGAAAATCGAAAATTGACTAGCGGACAGGATGAATTCGTAATGCGTCCAACACGGTGATATCGTTGTGGAAACGGGAATCAGGAGATCGGAGTGTAGCGAAAAATGCACGAGACGCACGCCTAAAATGTCGTCGAGCACGACGTACACGATTATTATATTACGCCAACTGGACGCGTGGGACAATATGGCCGTACGGTGTGATTATACGTGTAAAACGACCTCGGTCGAGTTGGGGCTGATAGGCAAATTTCGAAAACCGCCGAGCGCAGCGGACCGGCGGACGGATGATGACAAAATACGAATACCAAATAAAATAGTAATACGTGTTACCAAACACCGGGTACCGGTGTTGACCGCTTATCCCTGTACGGCCTGCGACAGGTTTTATGCGTGCGATAGTTGTTATACAGTGGTACAGTTAAATGGTAAAAAAAAAAAAAATATATTTTCCGATACGAACAATTAGTAAAAACGATTTTCAGCGAATGAATAAATGCGGATGTTCATTATTTTCATCGTGTGAAAAAAGTCATCGAAAGCGTTTTGGACCGCGTGAAGTTTGGTGAGTACATTATATATTATACGGTTAGACCGCTCCCACCCGTTGTGGTATTGTACTGTGATATACGGGCGAAAGGGGAAGACGAGAAAAACGATCGAAACGCTAAACCAATCGATCGGTGACCAGCGGTGCCGGAGAATCCAGCGGCAAACGATCGATGTTCTCCCCCGTCCCGCCGCACAATAGGCTACCATATGGCAGACGGGGCGCTAAACATTATCACGCGATCGCTGTAGTACGAAATACCACCTCACATTTCTCGCCAGAAACGATTACGGGATGGTGGTGGGGGTGGAGGACTGAGGCCGGGACACCCGTTGATCACCGTTACTTCATCGAGCTATCACGACGCAGCGGATACAGTGTCAAGATGCGCGGGAACAAATGGTACGGACCGTAAACTTCGGCTAGCGCGAACGACGCGACTTCACACTGTCACGGTCGAGGCCGACCGATTCAGACCGCCGCGATCGATTCGCCGTCATCGTAATATAATTATAAAACAAATGTTACCATGCCGCGCCGTACACCGCGGTAAGAAATAACGATGGATATCGCTTACCTGGTACATGTTCGACGATAAACGCGGCTACTGGAATTTTACATGGCGTACGTCCCCGCGAGTACTGCGACGGCGAAACGTACGTGCGGCCGGGTGCGACGTTCGACTGGATAATGTTTTGTTTTTGTTCGGCTCACGCAGCGCGTAGGCGGCAGCGGTGGCGGCGGAGCTTTCCGTGCCTCTCGACCGCCGCCGTTCCCGGCGTCCCCACCGGTCGGCCGTCACGCGCACTACATTCCTCCGGCGGCCACCGCTCCGCCCCCTCGCACGTACATACGCGCGCACGAGAAATCCTTTGCCGCCGCCGCCGCCACCGCCGCCTCTTTTCTCGTCCGCTGTAAAAGGACTTTCGCACGTCACGTGACGTACATGGTACATATACACGTTATATCAATATACATACATATTGCTTTCTTATATATATATATATATATATATATATGTGTGTGTGTGTGTGTGTGTAAAAGTGTTCGTATACATGTGTGTGTATTAAAGCGAGTAAATGTTTTTTGCCGTCGAGAAGCAAACGCGCTGGCGCAGAACGTTCATTGCGCGCGCGTGGGTGTCCGGTACATTATCAATGAACATCCCCGCCGCGCTCCGGCGCGGACCAGCCGAACGCCGCGTATCGATCAGCCGGAGGACACTTGTTGCCCCGCCGCACAATGTTCAGCATCGTTCCGGACGACGTGCACGGCGGTGGTAAAGGTCTTTACCTAAGTAATGACGGAAACGGCATAACATAAATACTATTATATATATATATATATTACTCGTATATCATAATACACATATTGCTGTTGTTATTATTACTTTAATCAAAATCGTCATTATGGTTGGTGCATTATTTGTAATGCTATAAGTCGTAAAATTAAAGATTACCTTACGTACGCTTCGTATCTTATTTAACACACGCATACACGCACCAAACGTGTGTATACCAGTAGGAGGACGGGACAGGAATATAACGTTGGTATAAATCTGGTTTAGCTATTTCCACACTGAAACGCATGCACTAAAAAGTGCATTAAAAAAGTACCCTAAAAAGTCTGTAGCCTAAACCTGTAAATGGTAATCCCGATCAACAGGATTTTGCAGCCGAACTATGGTTTTTACGTATCGTCGTGACGAAATTTAGTCAATAGGTTCTATTACGGTAGGTAAAAAAAAACATTATTAAAAATACATGATATGGATAACTCAAAAATTTTAAACGTATTGACCCTACCTGAAAAATAGTTGTAAAAAACCAGACTTTTTGATTCAACATTGAACATGAGAAGTTAATAATAAGTATTATAATGAATGGGAATGGTGATTTGATTGAAAATAAATAAACGATTACTTCTAAAATAACAAGATATTGACGAATAACAAAATGAACAAAATCTAAATTTTTTTATAAAAATGATCATTATTACATCAGAATTAATATTAAAATATGAAGTAAGAACATAAACAACATTACTAAAAATGATCATGGTAAATGTATTCTAAAATGCAAATTAAAATCGTAACATTTGGATATGTTAAAAAAACCAATCAAATTTTTATTTTTGGTAAAATGACACAAAATCCAGAAAAAAAACCATCATTATCATAATTCTAATATTTTTATACACAAGTATTTTCAGGTCCGTCGAAGAATCACAGGCAGTGGCGTATAATACGGCAATGGTTTATCTTTACACACATACTTATATTATATTATACAATGGACACAAGGCTATAAAGTTCGAATACATTTTACATATATTAAATGAACCAATATATGATAACAGAAAATAATTAAAATATCAGTTGATATAACTTAAAAAATACAACATTATGATGACATAGAGTAATTAATAATTAATAAAACACATATTAAATATAGACTAAATAAGGTAGGGTGCTCATTGCCCAAATGCATCATTCGATCAATTGCATAGTTCTTACTAGAGCTCTTAATACACGTGAATTCACGGAATTCACGTGTCACGTGTCACGTGTAAAATCCAAAATAAAAACGTATAACCTTAACTTAATACTGTACTATTAATATTTTATTAAAACTTCAAGTGTATAACATAAAATTACTAATTTTATCATTGTAAAAATGGATATATATTTTGGATAAACATGTATTTCACGTGTATTTGTGAATTCCGTGACACGTGTTTTAAGAGCTCTAGTTCTTACCATAGTATAATGGAAAGAAATTCAAAAAAGATAACATGATCTAGAAAACCGAGGTTGAACTCTAAAGTTAACTTGGGAGAATAAGGAGTACTTATATGTTATAGAGAAACACTTACGTTGATGAACTCATGTCTCGTGAGACCATCTTATTATAAATATTATATTTTAAGCTTTTTGCTTACTCAAATAAATCATTTTTCTTTAAATATATGCATAAGTCGTGAACCGTTTGAACCCGCGGCTGATGATTCTATCGGGAGTTCTGTAATAATAATAAATAAATTAACAAAAATAGTGGTTATGATAATAATATCTGTAATGGTAATAATTAGGGTTGGGATTTTAATGTCCTAAAAAAAAAATGCTTTTATAGCTTAAAAACTCCATGCGATGCCTTAATAAATACACTAAAATTTTTATTTTTAATAATTTTAGTATGAATAAAATTATATAAACTGTAATAAAAAGTTAAAAGACGGAAAAAATCATTAAATGCATTATAAAAATTACTTTAAAGGTATTCAAAAAATATATTACAAGCAGGGCACCAAAACGTTTTTAAAACGTTTAACTATTCAAAAAACGATTGAAATCGATAACAAATAATATATCGGTAAACGATAAACGATTAAAAACGGATAACGGATAACAAAACAGAAACGAAAAACGAATAAAATTAATATGGAATAACATAACAGAAAACTATAAACGATTGAAAATTAAAAGAAATTGCCATGGAAAATATTTATAACTATCAGTAAAATAGATTTGGAACATAGTTATGTTTGTAAAATTGACTGAAATTACTAGGTAATCTAAATAAAATAAATATAAAAGGATGTTTAAAACAGCAATAAATTTATCAACTAATAACATATAAATAAGCATTACCAATTATGATTTATAAATATGCTTTCTGAAATTACATCGGATGTTGTCGGCGCAGAACCTGTAGGCCTGCCTCATCAAAAATAATTTCGGTGAACACCGATGAAATATTAGAATACATCATACATAAGTTATAAATTGACAACAGAGAACATAAGAAAATTACCTAAAAACGAAAAAATTCCAAAAAATGCAAAAGAAAGCAAAATAAACTTTTTTATTCTCATTCAAAAGTACATAAATCAAATTTTTGACAAGACGAGTATCGCACAGTTAGCTTTGGAAAACAATGCAAAGTGCATCGAAATCCCAGCCTTAGTACTAATAATGATGATACCATATAAAATTAAAATTATTGTTATTTTTAAAACTATTAATATTACTATTATTGTTATTAGTATTATTGGATACTTTTCAGTATTTTCGTTACATGGAAAAATCAATGAGTAATAGAAAATTAATTTGGTTACAGATACTAACTGTACACAATTCCTGATCGAAAAAGTTCTGCTCGAAAATGTTTTATGCACGTTTATCAATCAAAAGTTTTATCACAAAAGAAGAAGAAGAAAATTTTGTAATTTAATTAAAATGAAATAATGATAAAATCAATATATTATATTTTCAGAACTTTTATTGAAAAAAAAAATTGAATTTACTTATTTTAGTACAGTTTTTCGTTATTAGCTTTTTTTCGTTATGTTCTTTATTAAGTAATGAAATATTTTTTAAATAAATACTATTCTATACAAAATCATTTAGGTAATATTAAATATCAACAAAATCTTAAGATTATATGAAACATTTTTAGAGCATTCTTTTTACTTTAAAAATTGTTCAAAAACATTTTGAAAAAAACTATTAAAATAATATTACATTATTTAATACAATACGAGATATTTCTTTTGCCTTTTCAGAATTTAACATCCATTTTCAGATCAAATTTAATTTGTTTACTTTGAGATTTGTACCTATATATAGGTATGTTATCTTTGAAATAACATACCTACTCTAATATAGTTATTTTGTTTCATAATATTGTTATCATTTTAGAACGTGCTTTTAGGTAATCTATCAAATTTACTGAATTCTATTAATATATTTAATTTTAAATATTTTATATCTATACACATTTATATACTTATATACGAGTAAACCATTCATAACATCCTAATAAAGAAGAAATCCATGATTTCGATTTGTTTATAAAACTTTGAATAACTTAAATTTAAGTTTTAAATGTAAATATAGGGTTATTTTTTTTTTCGTATGAAATATTCAATTACCATATTTACTAGATATTAACTAGCATTACAAATTAGGAGAACTATTTTTCATTGTTGTTTGTTTTACATACATAAATAACTTAGTGAATTTCGGAACAATATTAATATTATGGTTTTGTTCATAAGTTTATTATCATAATAAATTTAGACGATAAAATCAATAATACTTCAGTGTAGCACTGTAGTTTTATCTTAGACGTCGAGTTTGGTGATAAGTAATGATTTTATTGATCATATTACTTACATTAGTATACTTTTTTCTTTAAATGATTTTCCGTAAAGTGTATACAACTTCAATTAAAGTTTAATGGAACTTTTCAATACTTTGGATATTAACATGAAGGGGTTTTCAGTAGTTAAAACAAAATAATTTAACGAAGTTTGAAATTGTACGCTTATTTTCCCTTTAACATCTGCTAAAAGCTTTGTTTTAAAAATTGAAATGTCTTTACAGAATTTTAAATAAAATCCAATGACACATAAATTTGAGTGGATACCTGTGCACAAGCATGTTATGATATTCTTATTATTTTCCTTGCACCCATATAATAATATTGTTGTCTTTGATGCGAGTAGATGTAATATAATATAGAAAAATTATTTATATTCTAATTATTCTTTGTCATATTTTTATTGATTACTACTTTCCAATTCTGAAGATATTTATTGAAGTTTACTTAAATCGATACAAATATATTGTTTACATGAACTTAATAGGTGTATTTTTGTAAGATGGTTTTAATTTATCAATTATTCATTTAAATTTTAACTTACGTAAAAATATTGAATCATATATATTTTAATTATCATGTTTCTATTTATTTTACAAACTAACATTATAGTATACATAAGTAGTATGGTTTAGACAGTTCTGAAAACTTATCTTCCTTATCCTTCTGAACCACCACCGACCGATCGCGTACGTTCGCGACATATACACATATTATATCCCCCTCCACCTTCCCCCCCCAACCACAGACTACCCACCGTCACTATTGCAGACGCTGCACACACCACCGGCAGCAACGCAGCATTCTTAAGAATATTAGCCGACTAATACTTAGAAAAATATATTAAAATGTAATTTTACGCTTATACTTAATTAAAAATATACGTACCAGCTTGAGATAGGTACGGCTGTAATTAAGAAAAATACAATACAAACCAAATCACCGGATAAATAAAAATTTAACTATCGTATTATTGGATATAAAATTAAATAGTCGAATATTGTCGTCAATGTGTTTTTAGTCTCGCAATTGAATGACGTTAGCGGCACGCAGAGATTGTTCATATGCATCCGTCGCCTTGTTACAAAAATCATTGCCTTCGTGGAGAACATTATTCATTGTATCTTCTATAAAAAATCTTATAAAGGTATAGGTTATAAATGGGGATAATGTACTTTAAGAAATTACCATACCAGAAAAATAATTATTTTCATTATATTCATTTGGAGTGTAAATGACGGTGGAACAATTTTGTAGTAGTGGGTGGGATGTAATAGCAAAATTAATATCTTCCATGGAAATCATGATAGGTGAATCTAAACTTAATTCATCCACTCAAATCAAGTTTGGTGAACGAGGTGATGCAAGTGAGTCGTATCCACTGTTATAGTATTGTGTCTAAATTATTTTAATTTAAATAAACATATTTCAATGATAATTTTTTTGTTATCAATCGAACTTACCATATCTCCAAACATTTCTCCTAATTGATTATCACACAAATCATTAACATCGTTTGGTGAGATACTCATCTTAAAAATATATTAAAAATAAAGCAAAAGTTTAATTACTGTGAAAACACGGAGTGAGTATATATGGGTATGTTATGTTGAATACGAGACTAAAAACACATTGACGACAATATTCGACTATTTAATTTTATATCCAATAATACGATAGTTAAATTTTTATTTATCCGGTGATTTGGTTTGTATTGTATTTTTCTTAATTACAGCCGTACCTATCTCAAGCTGGTACGTATATTTTTAATTAAGTATAAGCGTAAAATCACATTTTAATATATTTTTCTAAGTATTAGTCGGCTAATATTCTTAAGAACGCTGCGTTGCTGCCGGTGGTGTGTGCAGCGTCTGTAGTAGTGGTGGTGGGAGTCTGTGGTAGTAGGGGGGCGAAAGTGGTGGGGAGATAATGTGTGTGTGTGTCACTCACGTACGCGATCGGACGGCAGCGGTTCAAAAGGATAAGGAGGATAAAGTTTCAGAACTGTCCAAATCATACTGCTTACATAATTTGTTTAACAATATCGTCTGAGAGGTTGAATGCTATGAGTAAGAAATTCCTATTTAAAAGCAGTCAATCTATCAAGTCATAATTTTAAGCATTTCATCTTTTAAAAAAATTTACCGATACATTTTAATTAAGAAATTATTAAATTTAAGTTTATCAATTTAAAATAATTAAATTAATTAAATTTAATTTTAAATCACTGACAAACCAATTAAATTATTTTATTTACAATATTTTCAATTAACATAATGAACATAAGAGATTCTATATTAATATAATTCAAAAAATACTTATAAAAAATGAATCGCTGTAATTTTATTAAAAATATGTGTACGATATTAAGTCTAAAAAATTTAGATTATCTGATAAAATAATTGTAATTGATCTTGATGTTAATTATATTTATATTATTAAAAAAATATAATATATCTCAAAAAAAATGAAAAATGTTTTTACCATCTGGTCTATAAACTAAAATGCACTTAGTCTCATGTACGGTATTTTCTAATTATTTAAAGTTTAAATTCTCTGGTGACATTCTAGTGACACTAAGTTCAAAATCTGAAGCAATTTATAAAAAAAATACTTAGAGTACTTAAGAGTACTTAGAATTATGGTTTTAAACTTTTATACATAGTGAAAGAATACTGGAAACAGTTCACATTGTTAATTAAAAAGGAATTACATTGTGTGCGACATTTTGCCTAAACATATATTTGAATTCAAATTGAAAATTATTATTGTTATAAAATTATTATTGAAAATATTTTTACTTACTAAGGAATACAAATAGCTGAACTAATTCTAAAGTTTTTGTATTTTTTTACTTACTTTCATGTAAACAATGTATAAGTTGATAATGTTATTTCATAAACTTCGATTTTTTTTTTTTTTTAATTCACTTAAATGTTTGACCTCCAAAATTATGCAGCTATCAATTTATTTAATCCTTGAAAATGTACATAGGTTTTTTATATATGAAACTTACAATTTACATAAAATTTCAAAAATATTCAAGTGAAAATATATAGTTATAAAAATGTTAAAATTTTTTTTTTCACTAATTAAAAACCTTAATTTTCAAGAAATTATTATAAAAACACTAGTATGATGTATATATTTTACTGGATATTTATCAATACCTATAGGTATTTCATTTCACTGTAAAATATAATTATCGATTATTACATTAAATTAAAATGTCACAACAATTATACTTCATTAACTGCATTTTATAAGTTAAATATTGTTCCGTTATCAATTTTTAGTTCGAAAACTTAATAAATTTAATATAGTTTTACTTAGAAAATTTTTACTTAAAAAGATAAAATTATAAGGCTTATATGACTGCGTCATAATTATATGTAGTTTGAAAAAAAGTATTGTAAGAGGTGTGAACATCTAATAATATAACATGTTAAATAAATAATGACAGAAATAAATAAAAATAGCCATAAAGACTTAAAAAAATTCAACTACGGTTAAGAACTATGGATAACATTAACAAATAGATCAAATTATCGAATATGCAAAATAATTGCATTAAGGACTGAAGTATAGATTTTTAATATATATTATAAAATTAATATCTAATTTACTATGTATATAATTATACTAAAGTGTATAAATATACCAAGTATACATAATATGTGTTGATTTAATAACGCTATTATAAATTCAAATAAATTAATATAAATATTTGACAAATTGAAATGCTGTTAAAGTAACTTAGAAGTAAAAATAGCAGTGGCGAAGCGTCATAGGAGAAAATGAGACAATGTCTACCCACTTTTAAAACGAATACATAATTTGGTTTTATTATATTTTATTTATTTTTATATAATATATATTTCAATATTTATCATAGTTTTACTTTTGTGCCATACCGTATTAGTATTCTTACAATAGATTAGTTGTGGACCGTACACGTGAGCTGTCGTTCATTGTGGCGTAGTGGTTAATTCTATAAACATCCAAATACAGATATAAAAATTAATATTATGAGACGACGCATTGCAGCGTCTCGTTCTTTCAGCTTTTTTTCAGGGAAAATAGGTTATTGAGTGGGGATTATCATTGCGCTATGAGACATATCTCGCGTTCATATTTATTATTTCATTTTAATATACATTATTATTTGAGCTGACCTTAACTGGTTGGCTCAGTCTAGTCCTCCAGATTGGGGGTTTGGCGACGGGCTAACAACCCGTCACTGTAAAAAAACAACTTTGTTCAGGACACAAACACAATGCCTCGGATTAGTGGATTACAGGACTCTAGACTGGAAAATTGGAAATCGGCTCTACGTTTTGGTACTTGAAATATACGGACTTAATTTAAACTTGGCGCATTTGGAACATTGGTAGATGAGTTGGAGAAGTATAGACTTGGAATTGTTGCACTATAAGAATTAAGATGGAATGAAACTGGATCAATGCAATTAAAAAATACTACACTCTTGTATGGAGCACGTGATAATAGGCGACTTGGAGAGAGCGGTTTCGCTGTAAACAAAGCATTCCTCAACTCGGTAAAAGATTTTAAAGTAATAAGTCCTAGAATGACTGTGCTGATGATAGCAGCCAGATGGTTCAATATAGCATTTTGCTATATACATGCTCCAATGGAGGAAAAGAAGGAAGTAGAGAAAGATGAATTTTACTCATTACTTAATAATGTCTTGAATGACATACCAGCAAATTGCATTCAAATTATTCTAGGAGATTTCAACGCAAAAATTGGGAAAGAAAATTACTTTAGACCTATAATAGGTATTCATGACTTACATGAAGTATCGAATGACAATGGATGTAGATAAGTAGCTCTTGTCACGGAAAGAAACCTTAGAATAAAAGGCACTATGCTTAAACATAAAAATGTTCATAAAGGTACGAGGAGGTCCCCTAACGGACTATATGTCAATCAAATAGATCATGTGTTGGTAAACTCAAGATTTACAAACACAGTGATAGACGTTAAAAATGCACGAGGAGTTGAATGTAATACAGACCATATATTTTCCCAACGCTATCAATTATATTGTTAATATTGATTTTTTGTATCAGCTGATATACCATTAATATGATATTTACGTATGTGAAAAATGTTTGTGAAATAAAAAATAAATAATTCTTGAATTTTTTTTTTGTATATATATATATATATATGTAATTAGATTTAAAATTTAAGTACAGTATTTCAATATTTAATTCAAATTTAACTAAATTTATTTCATTTGGTGGAAAAGTGAATTGGCAGAAAAGGGAAAGGTACAATTTTGGTAGAAAGGGGAATTAACCAATTTAGTGCTTGGCCGAAAAGAGATAGGTACACTTTTGGTGAAAACCAACCATGTTCCTATTTTTATCCCTAAGGAAAAGTTAAACGTACATTCGTCGAAATAACTTCATAAATTACCATATTTTATTAGTTTCAACCTGAAGAAGTAATTTATTAAGGTGCTTCAATATATATATGTATTTTCAATTAATTATAACATAGACTAACACGATATAAAAATTAATCGTGAAACAATTGAATAAACATTTCACGTTCAAATATAAAAATAGTTCTTATTAATTACAAATATATGAATCAATTATTTTTGGTACCTACTTTATACGAGAAAATGCATTAATATAGATATTAAAATTTCATAAGCCCTCGCTTACTTATCATACTTAGTTTAATTAATTCTTTAAGGACCAAAAATAATAAAACTAATTTTAAATTATTTTTAGCTCAAAATATTTCAAATTTTATTACATTTTTCTTATTATTTATAAAATTATATTTGTTTTCTTGAGGCTACAATAAATATTGTAAACAAATTTCCAGTTTGTTTTTTAGCATATTTTAACTTTTTTTTTTTTTTACTTTCCACGGTATTCACAGAACTAATCATAACATATGTGTCGTACAAGTTAATCATAGCATAAAACTATTACAATCTATATTATATTTTTCTTTGATGAAGAACTCAGTTTGAGGAAAAATATTATGATCGTATTCAAAATGATAGTAAATTTGTGGATTTAAATGAAACAATGCGCATGCGTAGTATGTATGTGGTTTTGCATTTTGTTAAATGCTCTTTTTAGTTATTCAATTAAAAAATTATTAATTTAAAAATGTACAGCATATTGAAAAATTCAGTTTATTTTAGTACTATGTATTATATAAATGGAAATGACGACGAACCGCATAAAACGATTTCCTACGCATAGAACGACGTTGGATAATCATCTGCAATAATATTTTCCTGGAAAATAAATAATGCTTTTATTACCAAGGGCATAAATTTAGTAGTTCGTGAACTCTAGTTTCCGACTGGATAATACGCTATACTTAGCTTACCCATCAGTATCACTTTAATCCAATTCATATTGGCGGTGGTCGCCAGTCGAGTATGTACAGATGGCGTGGATTCGGCGCACACGAACCTGTTGCTTACCACCCCTATGACGTTCAATCTCCCTGTTGCCGGATCGGACCATAGGAGCGGACCGCCTGAGTCCACCTGACAATTGTTGACTTTGGAAATATACGTGCACAGCTGATTATGTTCGATCTCGTTCCTGGACGTGCCGGCACATCGAGACATCGGGGCCACCTTCATGTGCGATTTCTTCAGTGAATTGGAGCCGTCAAAACGCACCGACCCCCAGCCTGGCAAGAGTGCACATTAAATATACATACGTACATTATTATACCGGTGACATATCGAAAACCAACAGTGGTTCTTAAGACAATAACAGATTTTCGACCGGGACATAATCGAAAAATATAATTGTGTCGGGGGACCTTGTTTTCAAAACGATTAAGCGTATGCTGTTTACGATTCGGCATTAATATGATCAGGGCTTAAGTTCCACAGTATTCACTAATTATAATACATTGATAAACTGAGTGGAGTAATCTTTATATAGTTTTTATGTTATAACAATTTTAAATATAAATTTTTTTAGAATTTTAATCAAAAAGACTAAGACCTATTTCTCCAATTCTTTGGGCTATTTTTAATTTCTATGATTTTATGTTTATCTTTATAATTTCATTAACCTCATAATATAAAGATTGAAGAAAAAATCTTAAATAGAATAAATAAATCCTCATAGTTCTGTTTCAATATATTTATATTGTAAATGTATTGTAAATGTATTGATCCAAAAGTGATTAATTAATAAATATTTTTAAATTGTAAATAAAAGAAAACGTATTTATTTTTAATAAATCTGTTTTTTTTTTTTTTTGCTATTTTACATGTTTTTATAGTATTTAATCCACGTATATTTTAAGAACTGTAAAATCATTGAATAACGCATATTTCAGTTATTTTTAGTGATACACTCGTAAAATTCGAGTCCTGTTTATTATTCTGTTTTAAAATGAGCCCAGCTAACTGCAGTATTAATGAAAATACATTCGATTTTTCGAATCCGATAGAGCCAATTTGGATTTTCGTATAAAAAATACTCGCATTTAGACATTTAAAATGGTTACAAACTTACCGAGAACATTGACGGTGCTGCCGACGAAATCATTATTGACATACTTGAAGGGTAAACAAGCCGGTCCTACCTTGGATGAGAAAGGAATCCCTTTAAACGTCTCTACGATGGCCAAATCGTGCGCGACGGATAGCGAGTTATACATCGGATGGATATAGATTTCGCTGATCTCCATCAGTATTGACGGATCGATGTTGCCACCTGAAATCAGTACACGTTTATACAATAATGTCATCTAAGTTTCAATGGGTTTCAATAAGTCACTATAACGCAATGCGTATACCTTGTCTGTTATTATTTTTTATTGAAACACCCGTACTTAAACGTATTTTCGTTTTTAAGGGTAACTAAATGACTAAATGTAAGATTCATGACCAAAACCAAAACCTCATCCATGCCTGATATGTATTTATTTTATTTTATTTTATCAAAAAAACTCTACCTGCTCTTACAGTGTAGTGTTTCTTACAATTTCGTCATGCATAATACAATTCATAAAGTAATACATTTTTACAAGAAATCGTTAGTTAAAAAGAGACAGGTTTATGTTGTTTTCAAAAAAAATATATTCTATGAAACTATGGTCTGCTGGGATTCATCCATCATTAATTTTAAATTTTATACTGTTGTATTAAAGGGATACAATCATGCATATATAAAAAGTTTAAAAATTAAATGAAGTGACTGAAGGTTGAGGAATTTGTAGCCCCATCTTAATCCCATGTTGTTAAAATATAAATTAATTTGTAGAAAAACTTTATTTTATGAGCTAATAGCTATTGCTTATTTTATAATTTATTCCAATACTTGAGAATTCTATATATTTACATTGGCTTGAAAATATTTCAAATAAAACTAATTTATACGGATATTGTAATAAATTGTCTGTTATAAATTAAAATATGATACCGGATATCATGTAATCATAATTATAATGCCTATAGTTAAGTAATGACGTGTGTGAGAGCAAAACTTTGAAATTGTATATTATGTGTCGGGTAATAATTTACTTTGGTAAATAACACCATATGTATTATTAATTTAAAATAAATTAATCCATATTAGACCATATAGTATATAATATATTGGATAACAATAATCGTTAAAAACGTTGAATAGGTTTTTGAAAGCTAAAATTTTATAAAAACTAATTATTTTCTTAATAATATTCACACGATTCATGTATTTGGTGGGACACAATAGGTAAAAAACGAGTTTTATTTTTAAATTAAGTAATGCATTTACGTGGAATAAATGAAAATGAAAATATACAATTCCCGTTTTTAACTATATAATTGATTATAAATTATTATATTATGACCAAATCATAAAATATTACAAAAATCGCATAATATGCAATGCATAAATAAAAGCATACATAAAATATTTTGCATATTTTATGTATTAAATACTGAATTAAATTATGTAACATAGAAATGCAATAAACTGAATTATACATAAAATTGAATTTTGATAATATGCTTGCAGACTTACGGTGTAAAAATTAATTTCTAGATTCATTTTATTCAAAGAATTTTTTTATAAAACTCCATTGTTGTAAATTTCATTAAAAACATAAATTAAAAATAAGTTTTTGTTTATGGGTTTATATGAGTTCCTAAAAAATATAAATGTTAGAAAATGAATCAATTAATTACTTTGTCGGATTCCAATATAATTCATTACAGTAATATAACTTTTATAATTAAACTATTGATTGAAATCGTATAATTACCAAAAAATTTATTTGTCAACATAGTTATTATTTTGTTTATAAATCTATTTTTAGTGAAAGAGTAAAAATAATTTTCACCTAAGTCTCCTATTACCACTTTTTTGTTAATTACTTAAAGGAATTTAAAAATCAAGAACAATACCGTACACAATTCATTAAATAAATGTAAATATATGTTTACACCTAAGAAAATAAATGTATATATTGTAGCAATTGAATCGCATAGAATCAATAAAATATTCTGTATAAGACAATAGTACCTATCTATAAGGAATGAATAAAATGATTACCCAATATTATAAACTTTATGTTCTTCTTGGTCTGTTATGATATCCATTTCACTATTTTATTTTATGTTATAATAACAACATTTTATAAACAAATACTTTTGATGTGTTTATATAAGTGTCAAGATATATATTTTCATTAAAAAATTAAAAAATATCCAAATCCCAAATGGCATAAAAAGTTTATACCATAAACTATTTTGATAAAATAGAGATTGGATATAAAATATGAGTAAGTTAATTAAATATAACTATTCTAGTGTGTAACTTTACTTTATTAGTAACGTTAAAAATTTATTTTTCAATTAATAATTAATATTTTTTAAATATTTTATTTGCACATATTTCAGATAACTTAAGATATTAAAAAATTCAAATATAAAAGGTTTTCAAGTTATTAATGAATTTACAAAAAAAAGAAAAAAAAATTATAAATTAATTTTTTATTAATAACTTTAATAATATATTAAATAACTGTTAAATAAAGGATAAATGTTTTATGACCATAAAACCCTAAAATAATAAATAAATAATTAGGTATATGGTACATAAGTAATTTTTAGATATTTTCATGATATATTAATTGAGCTAATCAGGATAGTTGTACATTTGATGATCAAACAATTTTAATTTGTATAACAAATAGAAAATATTATAAAAATCACCCCGTTTTATTATAATAAAATGGTTTATTTTATGCTGTTAAAAATATTAAAATTCAATTTGTTTTTTAACTTTTTTATTATTTTATAAAAAAATTAAATTTTGTGGTCAATAAAATACATCAATAAAACTTAAAACAATAAAGTATCATAGCACTTTTATTATTTGAAACTTATTTGAAACGATCTAGAGAATTTTTTTCCGAAAAAGGTACTTATTCAAAAGATTTTATCTAAAAACTATCTAAAATTTATCTATTTATTCTTTTTTATCTAAAGTTTTATTTCATGAAGATTTAGTATCGATGTGGTGGATAAAGGGTGGACGCGCGTTCGCCATGGAGTCATACTTTTCAAGTAGCTATTCATTCATCGACATATAATGTACATTTAAAAATCATTTTAATATTACCTCCGTAGATCGTATTCCTGATTGGAAATTTATTCTTTTATATGTGGACAATTTTGTTGGAACCGGTAATGTACAAAAAAAAAAAAAAAACCATTGATGTTCAAGAACCATCAGGACACCTAAAAATATTGATGAATTTTGCGATGAATGGTTAGACCAAAGGTTCCCAGGCCATAGTACACAGAAGGCTCGTAGATGATACGCGAAGACATTTTTTGAAAGAATTTTTTATTATTATTATTGGCATTCAATATTATTTAGTTTAGTTTATTTGATATTAACTAATTTTATAAATATCAATGACATGGAGTTTGTAATTGTAGCAATTTAGATTTTAGAATTTTAGATAATGATAATCTCTATAACATTATTGATAAAGCATATGCTTATGGCCTTAAAGTTGAAGTTTTTTATAATATATTTTGTATTATATAGTTATGGCTATTATGGCTATTCAATTGATGATAACGATTTTTGTATAATATACGAACGAAATATCAATTAGTTATTTTAGTGTGTTGCTATACGTTCTATATGAAACGATCTGTAGTTTAGTAGTGTTTTATTTTACAAAAATTTTATTTTAAATATAATTAGTACGTAAAATTTGATTATTATAAAAATTTTAATTTTAACTTAAACATTTAACTAAAAATTAAGATTTTTTTACTTTCATAAATATCAAATAATAAACAATATTAAGAAATGAATGAATAATAAAAATATACGTTCTTATACTATTTGTGCTATTCATTTTTAAGATATGATAGTTTCCCTGCTAAAACTGTATTTATATTTCGGTATATTTATATTTACTCATGGGTGACTATACAGTTAGTATTTTATTATCAGTTCTCATCAAGCCTTATTTTTTAGTGAACATTGATACTAAGTGTTTGGTCCAAAATTGGAAGTGTGCATAACGGGTTCGAGAAGTGTGTACCTACTAAATACTAATAAATAACACTACTATAGAGTGACGAGGTCTTAAATATATCTATTAAATTTTAAATTATTTATCCTACATTAAAATAAATAATTTTTAAATAGTTTTCAGATTTATACCAGACCAAATTGCAATGTGTAATTTTATTGATAAAAAATAACTATTACCTAATTATTACTGACATTGTACTAGAACAGGGATGGCAAATCTATGGCACGCGAAAATTTTTACTTATATATATTGTATAATACATAATATTATAGGACCTATAATATAATAATATAATATAATATAAATAATTAAAAAACCAATATTATTATAATAATTATTATTATTATGTACCTAAATTAACCTTTTTATACTAATACATTAATTATACAATCAAATTATAATATAACAAAATATAATATTTTTAATATTTTTTTCATGGCATGCTCTATATATATATATATAAAAAAAAAAGTAATTTTGGGCTCTGTATCATATTATTGTACATTAAAAATTTGTAGTACGAATTTTTATAAAAAGTAGGCGTCAAATTTTGTTTTTTATTATTTATGTCATATTACGAAAATTCATAAATTTAAGCATATATTTGAAAATCGCCCTCAATAAAATTGTCTAGGGATGCCACTAGTTCACCTTCTAATGACACCCTGAAACATGTACCACGAACCAACGAATTTCGCATAACTTATTATACTCACTTTCAACTATAATATCTGATCATTTATTTGGGTTACTCAGTCCCTCGTGGTTTTATAATTATGGTAATAATGAGAAATACGTTTCTTTGGATCGGTTATCCATTCCACAGGGGAAATGTTCAAACACTCGATCAAACCCGTAAGGTGCGGAATTCACTGTATTCCAGTATTTTACGATACATCTTGCGTGCACTATAGCCACGCCACATCCAAGTAACGCACGTATAATTATTATACGATGTGATGCGTTATAACACAATAGGTACAAAGTAAATCACTGATCATACGAGCGAACAATGCGATAGTATGCACTTACCATGGTTGATAAAGTCGTGGTCACCAACCAAAAGTATTATCTGAAACGGATTCACGTCGGTCATACAGTGCGCTGCAGTCAACACGTGATGTTTTCCGATAATTACAGCCCCGCAAAATAGCTTGGCCGTCTGCTCGTTTACCAGCGAAGCCATTAGCGGAAACTCATTCACGCCAGCCGTATTTCCGTTTAAAACTACGTCCTGCGAACATTCGAAAACAATTTTCATCGCCATAATTATTACCGTGATAATTATTTCTTTGGTTGATCGTATTATAATAAATTCATTAGGTGTTATAAACGATTGATTTTTAGATAGATAACTAAAAAATTTCCGTCTATCAATACTTCAACAAATCCAATGGATTTCTAGTGAAAGACTATTTTAGTTAAGAAATAAACGTGTTAAGTATTTATTTTCACGATATTTTTCAATCGAGCATATAGAATTGGGCAATAATGTTCGCAAAGTATATGGTTTATTTTATCTTATTGATTAATTTTGAGTATTTTCACATATTTTTTTATATATTATTACAAAAATAATATATGATAAAATATTATACGCCATTAAAGTGCTTTCGGTATTTAACTATAACATACATATTATGGTGTTTTTATCATTGAAATTCGAAATATTTAATATTCGCAATATCAAAGTTCACTAAATATTCTAAAACCACAGCTCGGCGACATAAACTTAACCATGTATAACGTGAAGTATATTGAACATCGCCATTATCAGTCAATTCATCGTGGGCGTACATCAAACTGATGTCAAATTGAAACATAGACATATTTGTTAAAAACCTTTGCTGTGCAGTTTCAACCTCCCGCGAAATTTATTTAAACGCAAATTATTTTTTAACGAAATATTATCTATTGACAACGTTGCCTATTTTTCGATTGTGACTCTACTACTCACATCTCATTGCCCGACGTTAATCGTGTACATTACGAAGATATTACCTGATAGTGTTCTCCACACTCGCAAAACTGTGAAGATTTCGACGTCTCCGGTATCCTATAGTCCATGCGTTTTGCGCCTAACGAGCACATGAAACTTCCACCGTTGCTTTGGCGTTTCGCCACAAACATAATGTTCATCTTGTTGGTGCGGCTGATTGCCGTGAATGACTTGGGGCCGCAGTGCCTGACGCCGTCCGCGAAGTTTTCATCGCCCACCCGGGATACGATCAACGCATCTGAATTGCAAAACGAACTCTAAGAAGTATAAAAATACGTGTGAGAACATTGCAGTAAAATTAACGTGTTCACGCAGACTAATAACACTGATGTCGTACGCGTTTTCAGATGAAATAAAGAAAATTCATAATCCCTAGAGACTTTTGGTTAATTACAGTGATTTTCGACCTTTATATATCCGCATGCCATTTGCATATTTTGAAATTTTTCACATACTATCATACATAACCAAAAATCATTTTTTTCTTTTTATTTACGATTGAAGAAAATATAATCTTACATGAATTGAGTTTTTTGTAATTCAAACTACATAATACTAATAATATACACATTTAATAGACAAAATGTAAAAAAAATGTACACATTTAATTATGTATGTATTATTATGATTAATAATGATAAATAATTTTATGAAACTGTTGATGTCGAATCGAATGAACAATAACATCTATATTAGATAAGCCTAGAAAATATTGATTATTAATAATAATATTACAATAAAAATTGTAACAAACACTTTCTGGGTATACATTTATGCATTTACGAGTTTTCTGCGTACCACAGGTTGAGAACCGTTAGTATAATAAATTTTCATGCAGTACACAATGAAACTATACAATTATTTGATTTTTTTTTTTTTGGAAACTCTTGGATTTCAGACTCCAGAAAGTCCAAACTAAACCTACTCCTAACAAAAACTTTCTATAATGTTCGGCGATTATTATCATAAGAATTGTTGGTATGGACAAACAACTTTGTAGGTATACGACGAATGATAATGAGTTGACAAGTTGAGCACAGATGAAAGAACGAAACACGATTCCATATTTATCGCAAAGCAATATAAAAATTCAACGGCTTAAAATTGTTTATTTACTTCAAAACGGGAGTATCATTTGAGGGGAGGGGAAGACTATGACAAATGCCCCACTCTGAGAAGTTTAAAAAGTCGGCAATTCTTTGTCCGATGATCAAATGCTAAAATCGGTAAACAGTTAATTTCTATTTACTATTTTGTACCCAGAAATCAGATAATATTCTCTTTTAAATACACGTTTACGGTTTATTAAAAGTTAGTAAACACTGGCTCCTCTCCGGTTTATGACAATCGTTATTACATATCTATTATATAAATTTTATTTTAGGTATATTATGTATTTTTATATATGTGATATTTATAAAACAGTTTTCGCGATACCGATACCATAAATATTGAGTTCATAATCAATAAAAAACTGTTAAAATCGTTTCTATTCACCTCAAACCACGGTACATATTTGAGATACAATTTTATGTGTTCATAAATAAGTTCTGTAAAATATTAAATATACAAATGATAAAATTATAAGTATTTATTTAATTAGATTTATATAATTATTCCGTTAAACCTATTGATAGGTAACTTATAGCCTATAGGACGAGTAAATAGATGAATGTTTTACTATCTTTAATGTAATTATTTAATCGGGGAAATTGAAACGTTTCACGTTCTTTGTTTATCATCGTGACATCATTATTCATTACTAATCATTACATGTTTTGTTTCGAACAAATATTTTATTGATGGAGTCTATCGTCCATAAATATTAAATATTTAAATATATAGGTAACCATAACTTTTTAAATATTACGAAGTCGACAAATTCAATCAGTTGCCCCACCCTTTCAAAAGTTGAAACGACGCCCCTGCGTTCCAACCTACGTTCCGATTCAACCTGCGCTCAACACTGTTTACCGGCGACTCGACACGGTCGAGTTTAAAGTACAACATTTCTTTTGCAATCGTTAAAGGTGCAACGCACAGCGCATTGCACTATTACCGATCACGCGTCGCACGGTTGTTGATACGTGACCGCGGACGGCGCATCGCGTCCGGTCGTACCTCGGGCAAATCGAACTCGTGACAGTCCAACACGAGCCGGTCCAGGGGCGACGGCGTCTTGGCGAACCACCGGCACTCCCAGTCGCGCTGGTCCGCCTGGTACGCGCTCGGGTAGTCGGGCGAGTACAGGTAGTACGACCGGTTACCGGGCTCGACGATCTGGTAGAACTGGCACAGGCCACCGTCCGCACGGTAATAGTCGTCCGGATCGTTTTGGTCCGGGACGGCGTCCGACGGTGACGAGCACCAGACCAGGTTCTTGGACAGGAGCAGCAGCGGCAACAGCGGCGGGAACGGCGAACGGGCGCGCGTCATTTTCGCGCCGGTTGATCCGTCGACGGTCGGGCCGGGCACGGTGCGATCCGGTGGTCACGACGAACTGCTGTTACGCGGCGATTGAAGTCCGATCGGATCGAGCGTCGAACGTACGTATCTGGCCGGCGCGCGGCACCGGGGTTACGAAGTGCGGAGTGACGTCCGCGACGGGTACGCGCGCGTTGATTGGACGCGGTCCTCGAGTGGTGCCGTTCGCGCGAACCGGGTGTCACGGCGTACGCGACGGCGGTGCGGGCAAGGGGAGCAAGTCGTACACGGCCGACCGACGATAACGCGCGTGTCACATCGCGCGCTATTAGTGTACACGAGACGTGCGCGGTCCCCCATCGGTCGGTCGACTGATATACGACGCGTGTAACGTTTAAATACGATTTGCATAACGGAAACGGGTCGTAATTCAAATTTCCGTCGCGCAGATAGATAACTCCAAATGATGCGCGCAAAGTAACCGCGTACAATACACGCGCAAAGTAACCGCGTACAATACACGTGCAAAGTAACCGCGTACAATACACGCGCGATACACACGACGCGTTTTAATTGGCTGGGATTATTCTAAGGATTTTTATCAACTACGCATTTTGTTTGAATAAGCCTGTCAAAATATAACTATGATCTCAAAATATACTGTCAAATTATAGTTAAAAATTATAAAACAATGTGTAGCTTCTATGTGAAGTCATTTAAAATGTAATGTATTTAAAAGATATAAAACGATTTACATTCGTGTTCAAAGTATTTTTTTTTTAATATTTTTTAACAAATTTTCTTTTTACTTTGTTTACAAATCCATAATGTAATGTACAAAATAATACTAATTAATAATTGAAACGGCGCCGGGCTAATAATATGTCCGATCTCTTCGCCGGCACAGTGCCTCCCCGGGTTCGCCGGCACAGTGCTCGGATGATTTGTCGTCGCGAACGGAACACGCGCACGCGCCCCCGAACTGACCGAAACCCGACCGTCTACGTCGTATCCTATTGCGTCCAGGGCCGTGGAGAAAAATCGAGGTCCCCGGGGACGAATGAATCTAGGCCCTTCTCGTACGAATCGTTAAACTTGCCACTGACATCCGGTGTCTTCTTTTAAAATGTATATACCAAAGAGACAACGTAATCGCAATCAATGGTTACACTAAATGAAAATAATTATCCATGGGTCTTTCTTGAAAATGATATTTGTCCACGTTTTAGATCGATATTGTAGTGTTCACTTTATTGTAGACTCGTTACAACTATACAGCTTACGCTATAATTATTTTCCCTAGTTTTCCCTACCCCCCCTCTCGTCGGGCCTTATTATATCGATACCTATTCAAAAGCCACGTACAATATGGTACTATAAGGTCACCGTGTTGCGCATACACGCCTCGTCTTCGACCATTGTGCCGCGTTTTCCAAAGGAAAATTAAACGGACGAGACTTGCTCGATTTCATCTCTCGGAGTTTTGTTACACCATGATATTGTAGTCATTTTATACAATACACGTATTTATGATGGAAAAAAAAACTTAAAAATAAGTCACTACAACGATATAATCTGAATGGAAATTATTACGTAGATGCATTAACACCTTTTTTTTTTTTTTTTAGACATATTTTTGCGGCTATGATTGTTAATTGTCTTCTTGAGAAAGATAAACAATTACATGTCACAATTTCTTATTGTAATTTAATTAACCTAATTTAATTCCACGATTTTGAATTATTCCTTTTTTCCATAGTGGTTTTATACATGGACATATTATAGGAATATCGTAAATATTCCGATGTAGGTAAGTGTTTTTATAGGTGTTTTTTTAAATTTAATTTATTCGCTGTCCAATGATAAAAGTCGTCGTTACACCGTCTATTATATGAAAGCAATAAAAAAAATTGTGTATCAGGATTATCAAAATATAATTTGTATGCACTCCCAGACAATTAATACAATGCATATTATGTATGTGTAAATTGTACATTATTTTACATATTTTTCGTGCCGAAAACCAATTAACGATTAATTAAGTATTCGTTTAGTTTTCCGATAACATATTAATTAACGTATAATACAACTATGGTCATTTTTTTATCGAACCTTCATTAATTATTAGGCGAAATTGACGTTGTAAAATAAAAATATAACAAACTAAAAGTTTTATTACATTGCCGTATTGATCAATATTATATAAAATAACCATCTAATCATTTTGTATTGATCATCTTATAAAATCAAGCTCATTTTTTTATTATAATCATTACTATAAGTTGCACATATTACGACGAAGAACTATAAAGTTATATGTTGAGATGTTGTTTCATATACATCTATTGGTCTTATTAGATTTCAATAAAAATTCACGATCATTAGAGCCGGTATCCTGTAGAATATTTAAAGATTCGAAAGAACAAGGTTTGCGAAAATAATAAACATAGACATAATATAAGATCCCTAAAAATCAACAATTTAAATATTTCTCGACCTTCATATATTGTTCTCATAGCCATTTTTTACCCTCGATAATAAACTAATATTTGATTAGTTGACGGAGAAATTTTTAATCATTTTCCATTAAATTTTTTAATCAAATAATAAATTATTATTATTATTTATGTTAAATATTTTTATTGTTTTGTTCGGTTAGCGAATGATGAATTACAAAATATCCAATAATTATATAAATACTGCAAAGTGCTGATACACGTTTATACTTAATCCGAAATATCGTAATTTTCCGGCAGCTATAATGTCAATTATTGTGGTGATGGTAGAGCCGAACTGTAAGTTCCTAAGTGACATAAAATGATCAATCTTAACAGTAATTTGTATTATAAGATTTCGTATTTTTATTGATTTTTTATATATATAATTTTATTGTACATGTGTATGTTACTGAACTCCTCCTAAATGGCTGGACCTATTTGAATAAATTTTTTTTTTTATACGGTTGGGTAACGCCCTGGATGGTTTAGAAAAATTTGAAAAGTGATAAGCCCAATTCCGGGAGGTGCTCAAACAAACATTTTGAAATTTACATGACAATTTTTGTTTATAGATGGTTGCTATTAGTTTCAATAATAGTATTAATTAGTCCAAAAAAATTATTATCCCTGAATTTATTATTATTATTTTTTATTATTTGTTTCCTTGGTACGTGGGTCTATATCATTAAAAATGCATTAAAATTATGCATTAATGCTACCGCACATTTTAACATTAAAATTTGGCGCACTATCATTCTTCTACAAAATATTAAGCTTCCAGTGAGAAATTAAATGAACATCATTATCGAAGCTACAATTTTGAACAGAAAGTTTAAAAATGAAGATGTATTTTTGTTTCGTATCTCTTTCGAATTCAAAGGCTTGCAGTTTCCGGTGTGACTCGCCTTTGCAATGACCATCAACAAAGCACAAGGACAATCGTTACAAGTATGTGAACCAGGCACGTACACAAGGGGGTGTTTTGTGTGTTCAAACACCCCCCGAAATGTTTAGTTTTCTGTTTAGTTATTTTCTTATTAAATTTTGATGTAAATTGCTTTATTATATATACTATAGAGTCAGGTATAATATTATATTGTATTTATGGAACACCAGTGAAAGCAAAATTAAAATTTAACACCAAAAAATTTTTATTTTAATATTATTGAAAAAAAAAAATAAAACAGAATTTAGAAATAAAATAATATTATAACTAGGGAACAGATTTATATGTAATAAAAGTACAGAAATATGTACATATGTATGTAAGAATAATTTATAAAATATGTGCTAAAAACATCCAAATATGTAGAAAAAAAATGTAATTAATTAAAAAAAAATATATAATTATTAAATTATCAAAATGATTTGTGGTATTGAATTATTACAATACCTTTTAAATTATCAGATATTAAATGTCGCCTATTAGATCTGAAAATATTTTTAAAATGGCTAAATGATTGTTTCACGTCAACCTACATCGATTAATTAAAGCATATTTGAAGTGCATAATATCAGAAGGTTAGAATTTAGGTATATAGAATAGGTCCAAATTTTTAGAAGGGTGTCTTCCACTCATTATGTCATTGATTGATTTAAAATCAATATAACCTGGAATTTTTTTCTGGAACAGCATGTATTTTCTTTTTTATAACATCTCTTATTGGTCCGCTTACGAGTTTTCATATCGCAATCGTTGATTCGACAATTTGCATACTTTCATTTAAGGACGTATTTTTGATTCTAAATTTTATGAATGTATGTGCAATAAAACTAAAATTCACTAAGACGAAAATTAAATTAGTTTTTAATGTTTCATTTTGCATAATATTTTGAGCTTTTTTAATAGTGATAGAAGTTACTGGATCTAAAATTGAAATAATTTCTTGTAATTTTGTACGAAGAAGACGTATGAATAATGAAATGATAAAATATGTTTAAAAATATTTACAAATTTATGAGATATGTAAAAATATATAAAATAAAAGTAGCATCATATTAATAGGAATGATTTAAATCATGAACATTTCTTATCGATTCTTAAATATCTCGTTTTAAAAAAAATATGTATTTACATATAAATCCGTTCCCTAAAAATAACTATTATGTAATAATCTAGGTACAAAATAATTCTAAAATGTACATAGACACGGGAATTGCCTAAACTATACATGATGAAACAATTACTGCGGATAAGAGTATTATAAATACTCTTATTATCGTCTCTCTTGTATTTTTTTTATCAACGTTATCGTAAATGTTTTTGTTTTGTATCTGCACGAGGCCACGACAAGTGATAATATACTATTTTATGTCTCAACTCTCAAGTTATTATATTAATATAATAATATACTAAATTACTAATATAAAGTATGGATTCGTCAAAAAAAGGAATTCTTTACTTTCGTATTTCTCGACAAATAAAAAACCTCGAACTAAGAACAATGAGGTGCGTAATAGTCTTTATTTTTTTATTTATTTATATTTAAACTTGCATACTAATGTTGTTTGTTGCGCTATTTAAGTGCCCCTAGAATAAAAAATTGATTGTTTATCGACAACTCCAACATCAAAACATGCGGTAGAGGACACTCGGGAGCAATCTTTAGTTTTGCAATCAGAATATTTGGTGAATTAAGCTCGATAACAACTTTTAAAGTTTTTATGACATTGCTGTACAATATACAATGTACATGCATTATCTCTAGGGCTCGGAACTTAATATTTTTAAAAAGTAATAAATATGCATGTACTTATCCGTTTAAAAAAGTACAAAAATGCTTTAAAAATATGCTCTTTTATTTTACTTTTTTACACAAAATGTTCATTCGGACAAATAGGCAATGAAATATGCTCTTA